CACCTGAGGTCTTCCTCCACCAGTAAAGCTGGAATGTGGCGATATGACCTATACTGTGTCACTGTGACGTAAAACCCAAAAACAAAGATGGCAGTCTAGAGATTATGCCCATTTTTTAACCAGGTTTTCTGAAGGAAAAAACTGGTTATTAGATTGAGGTATGTCGGCGGGCGGGCGGACGGGCGTTCGTAAACAATTTCTTCTGTGCGCAACTCCTACATTTTTCAACGGATTTTGACCAAACTTCACAGAAGCTTTGGCCATCAAGTGACCTGGCGCATATTGTCGGGGTGTTTGTGACTTTGGATAATATTTGACCTAATTATGGCCCTTTGTTTTTTTTCCTTATATAGAATATATAGTGAATAGTTTCTTCTGTGCCCAACTGTTCCTACATTTCTCAATGGATTTTGACAAACTTTCACAGAGGGCTTTGTACTCAAGTGCCCTGGCACATATTGTCGGGGTTTGTGAATTGGATAATATCTGACCTAATTATAGGCCCTTTGTTTTTTTTTCCCAATATAGGATATAAGATATAGTGACAATTTTGTGCACAACTTTCTCCTACATTTCTCAACGGAATTTGACAAAACTTCACAGAGGTTTTGTCATCAAGTGCCTTGGGGCATATTGTCAGGGTTTTGTGATTGGTATAATATTTTACCTAATTAGGCCCTTTGTTTTTTTTTTTCCTTCTAAAGATTATATAGTGAACAATTTTTACCATGCGCAACTTCTCCTACATTTCTCAACAGATTTTGACCAAACTTTCACAGAGGCTTTGTCATCAAGTGCCCTGGGTCACATTATCTGGGTTTTGTGATTTGATAATATTTGACCTAATTATGACCCTTTGTTTTTTTCCTTATACAGAATATATAGTGAAAAAATTCTTCTGTGCTGAACTCCTACATTTCTCAATGGATTTTGTTCAAACTTTCACAGTTAGCTTTGTCATCCAGTGCCCTGGCGCATATTGTCGGGGTTTTGTGATTAAATAATTTTTTATTTAATTATGGCCCTTTGTTTTTTTTCCTTATACAGAATATAATTATAGTGAACACTTCCTCTGTGGCAATTCCTCCTACATTATTCATGTTTTACATTGCACATAGTTACATTGTTTGTTGCTTGGTATTTGTATTCAATACAACATATTTATCTACAATGGTGATAATTGAAACCTGGTTTCATGGCATTGCCATGTTTCTTGTTTCTTTACTTCCTTTGTTGAAAATTCTGGTTGCTATGGCAACAAATAGACTGAATTTAAAGATTTCTGATTCCAGTTTTTACGCTTTTTTAGCTCACCTTGCACAAAGTGCAGGTGAGCTTTTAGGATGGCCAACCAAATGCGTCCAGCATCCGGCGTCCGTCCACATTTTATTCAAACAACATCTTCTAAATACCACTTGGCCAATATTAATGAAACTTGGCAGGAATACTCTTTGTATTTGAAGCTCTATCAAGATTGTTCAAAGAATGCCATTTCCATGGCTAAACTCTGGTTGCTATGGCAACTAAAAGAAAAAACTTAAATGTGCTTAAACTTCAAAAATTGAAAGGGCTAGAGCTTAGATATTTCTCACAAGGCATTACCTTGTTAGTTCCACAAAGTATATTCAAAGTGTATGGTCTAAAGTTTGAAAATTGGTCTCTATTTTGGGAGTTAAAGGTTTTTTTTTTTATTGCAAGGTTATATAAACTTTCTTTGTAGGAATAAATTGAGATAGTGTATCTTGTATTTTTCGTTCTCAACAGACATTGTTGTATGAAGATTTTTCTGTTAAAGCATAGGAAGGATGAAAGTTGTTGAATGTGAATGTTAATTCAAATCAGAGTCAATCAGAATAGCACAAATTTGAGAGCTACAGTGAAGTTGATTTCCCCATTCAATAATGGATTCTTCCATTAATTTCGTAACACCATCAGAAAGGAAGACTGTGTCATTTCCGAAATACAATGTAAAAGATATCCGTTCTTGACAATGACTTGCACATTTTATTGTGTAAGATATTGCACAAAGAAACGAAAGTGAACAAAAAATGTTGTTTTTTTTTGCACAAAAATTAGTTGATTAAGATAAAAGTTTAATTTACAGTACCGATATTACTTTTTGTATCCTTCCGGTTTGCGGGAAAAATCATATACTTATAAGTACTACACCGCTCCTACTGATGAACGAATTATGTCAAAATATTTAATTCTGAGAACAAACATAGTTACGATTCAAATCATTAAATAATGAATACCAATCAGTCCATAAAAAAATTTGCCTCAGAAAACATCTGTATCAATCTGACCTCGAGTTGAGATTATAAATTATACTAAACCAGAAGTACATGACGAAACGTCCGCCAATCAAGTAAATTGTGAAATTTTGTAACAAAAACTCGTGTTTCATAACAAAGATGTGAAGATGAATACAATTATCAGTGTGCTTCGTTGAAACAGGTATTTTTGTTAACTATTTGTGAAGTATTAAGGCATGACATTCAGTATTTATGTAAATATCACCTCCTGACTCCTGTGTTATGATTTATAAAATTATACATGTACACATGTGTTATTGACCTCAATAAATGTAAGTGAAAATGGAACAATAAGTATGGTAATTATCCATGGTACTCGCAATACTTAATTATCTTTATCATATTGTTAACTAAGCTATAAAATTGCATAATTTTAAAAATAACCTCATAATATAATCAATTTAAACTTGAAAATCTTCTCAAAATTACTTCGCAAACAGTAAGTTTTGAAATCAATAACAATTTTCTCATAACACTAATGTAGTTAAAATCATAATAATGGTCAATGGTACGAATTTTTAGTAAAAATTTTTCTCAGCAACTACTTATTACAGCCTCTTAATGTTTGTTATTAATGTACAGCATTGATGACAGCATTGATTTCAGGAATGTGGCTCATATCCACTTTCAGTTTTCTGACCTAGTGAAATTTTCGCATTAATTGTAAATGGAAGGAAATTTCCCATAACAGTTTTCGTAGCAACTACATACATATCACAGCCTCTTGATATTTTGGTATTGTGACTGCAAAGTTCAGGTCTATTGCTGATCCACTTCCCTGTTCACCGACTTAGTTAAGTGATCGATATTAATGGGTCAATGGTAGGAAAATTTTTTGTAAAACATCACAGCCTCATGAGTCATGTTATTTGGTATACAAATGCAACCCGTCCATTTTCGTCTTTGACCCATTTTTTATTGAAGTATTATCCAAATTTGTTCTTTGTCTTGTTAATTATGATGTCAATTGTTAAAAATTTTCATGATGTAAACACGCTACAGGGAGTGTATTTTTTAGCAACCTGTACTTTAAAGAAAAGAAAAAAACAGGTATTTCTATACACTTGTTAGCATTCCTGTTGCTGTCGGCCAAAAAAACATTACATTTGACACTAACCTTTAAATGACATTAAAGAATTTTATAAACCTGTTGCTTGTTTTTAAAAAGAAAAATACTTTATAAGATCTATTCCTTAAGGTGAGCAATATAGGGCCATCATGGCCCTCTTGTCATTATACAGTGACGCTCACTTATATCGAACACGGTTAAAATGAAAAAATGGTTATAACGAAAGGAAATCAATTGCCCGACTTTAACCCTTCTTTATTTATATGTCTCCTAATACATGCTTAGAACGAATTTGGATACAGCGAAAAAACGGTTATAACGTAAGGATTTTGAGGTCCCGTGATACATATTTTAACGTAAATCAGCATGGTTATAGCATAATCAAGTTTTGACAGTACAACAAAGAGAAGACAAGTGATTGCCTACAGGTGTTAATTATAACATCTCTATTGATCATGCGTTGAAAAGAGGGCTTGATATGTTTTCACACGTTTTCTCGTGACAAGTTTTAAAAGATGTTAAAAAGGCGTTATTACAATTTGATTGTTAAAAGTATAAACATTCCCATGAAATGTGACTTGAGCTGATTTATTTCTAGACCTACGTGTATAACAGTTTTTATCATGATTATTTGATTAAAAATGGATAGAGGTTTAAAACGAAAAGCTATTACTTTGGAGACAAAATTTGAAATTTTAAGTAAAGTTCAAAAAGGTTTAAAGAAAAAGGATATCGCTGAAAAATTTGGAATACAGCTTAGCACTTTATTATTACTATGTACGCTCAGCGATAGTGAGGACGACGAAGAAAGTGATGCTAAAAGTAGCCTTCGCCTGCTAGTGTTCTCAAAATCTAAATACAATGCAAAAAGCAAAAAGTAGCACAATTTTTGTCTAACATTTCGTGCAATTTCACACTGAAGCGTTACTACATTTTATACATACTTTAGTAACAGAGATATTTATACAAATATATATGGCGATGATATTGGGGGAGGTTATAGAGGTTTGCAGCCCGCAGACAGTCTACGTCAGAATAACGATGATAGAGCAGTTAAAGACCAAGTTCAGGACCCAGTGCCGGAAGTTTCAATAGTTGCATCAGTTAAACGTAATCGACCGGCTCATCGCATGAGTAATAGGCGCTCCCTTGTAAATCAAATAAGAGAAAATCAGGCTGCTATACAGGATATAGCCCCCCCCACCCCCCCAAAAAAAAAAATAAAAATAAAAAAAAAAAATAAAAAAACTACTCTGTGAACTTGGCATCAGCAGTGACAGCAGTAATGACATTTACCTTAAGTCCTGCTTTCACACACTAAAAACTTAATGGAATTTGTTGGTCTTTAGTTGAATTAGCACTACAATAAAGTCTATGAATTAAGAAACTTGTATTGTCCATCTTTAATATGTTGATATGTTGAAATCGCTGCATCACAGTTTTAGCGTACTGCTCATTTTATCTTATTTTCAAACATTTATGTTTTGAGATAATCCCCCAAATTATTCCATATTAAGAAGTACGTTTACGAAGTTCGTTTAAGATAGAAATGTCTATTTGTCACCTTCAGTTATAATTCTAGTTATAGTTTAATATATATAAAATTTATCTTATAGATGATGCCAAAACAAGGGAAGATGAAAATGATAGCCCCTCAAAGCCTGCAACGCCTCATACACCCTGCACACCAGGATCAGACCTAGATAGATCAGGTTTCAGGTATATAATTATATTATATACAGTTAATCTCTGTAAAGCTAACCATGACTTTTGCTTCTTTAGCTCAGCTAAAAATAATACAATGTGCTTTTGATTACTCAATGTCTTTGTCTGGTGTAGGCCTGTCCACACTGAACATAATGTCTCCTCCTTAAAACCACTGGGCAATTAATATTACTAATTTTTACCTGACTACTATATATATATTAGAATCTATATATTATATATATATTATTTATATATATATAAATGGAATGATTTTTTTAACAGCCTTAAAGGATCACCAAAGGTACATTAGTAATATATTTATAAAAAATCATTCCATTCAGAACTCTCTTTTCATTCTGCTATTGTATCAAACTTTACTACATGACTACAGGCTGTGACTCGCAGACTCTTGTTGAAATAAAAACAAAGCAACTCAATAACAGTACCCACACAATCACCATGTTACCAACCGGTATTACCTGTATCGAATATTCAGTTTTACTTTTGCAAAATGGCGGTCAAGTGTATTTTTTGTGGATTATTTTAAAGTATTTACTATGGTGCAAAAGGCAATAGATGATATTCTGCCAGTATCAGATACGGATCCTGTGTCTGATCAAATGATAAAGGGAAAAATTCTAGTTCTAAACCACATGCTTAAAACTAGGAGAAACACATTTTGTACAAGTTGTACTCTCTTATGTCATGCAGTTAATAATTGTAGACTGATAAGTATACAGGTGATTTTGTCATCTCTAGAGCTCCATTTCATAAAGCCATTTAAATAAAAATGATATTACACTTGACGATACAATGTATAGTGAAGTTAAAAGACCTTCTTGTAAAAAACCACTAGTCCAATTTCAACCAAACTTGGGAGGATTGTTCCTTGGGTGAAGGGCTTCCAAAGCTGTTCAAATTTAGATTCTATCCAGAAATCTGGTTGCAATGGCAACCAAAAGGAATGATAAGAATAAATTAAAAAAATCTTCTTGTAAAGGAGCATGGATATTTTGCATAAGGCATTGTCTGGTAGACCTGTATCAAGATTGATAAAATTATAGCCCAGGGGTCAAAGTTAAAAGATATTAAAAAATATTCTGAAGGTAAAGGCTTAGAGCCTTGATATTTGGTACAGTAGAACTTCCTTCGCTCGAACTTAGAGGACCTGTGCAAATTTGTTCGAGAGTAGTTCGAGCCAACCTTATTACATAAAACATAGGCCTAAAGGTTTTCCAGCTTACATTGGTCAAATGATAAATACGACAATATAATTGTTTGTTAGTGCATCTGTTTGCAGAATACGTCATATGAAGAATTATTATCCTATTGAAAACAATATTAACGGTACACTGTGTTAATCTATATTCATGCATATTGTAATTGGTTGACTTCGATTTGGCAATTATTATCCAAACTGTGAACAATGTTCAAAATATAATATTTATATGTTTATTATGGGATGAATTTTATTAAAAACAATGAATTAATAAAATATAAAAAATATTTTTTTATAGTAGCATCTATTGTAGTCATTTACTAAACTAAACACACGTACAAGTATCATTCTATAAATAGATTACACTGTTACAATTCACGTGACATGAACCACGGTTATAATTAAAGACAATTCCCGGTAAACGTCACTTTTGCGCATTTCAGGAGTTATTATGCCACCGCAGCATCTGCGATGCGGTGGCATATAGCGATTCACCTGTGTGTGTGTGTGTTTGTTTGTGTGTGTGTGTGTGTGTGTGTGTGTTATATAGATTATATAGTGAACTTAAAAAATCTTCTTGTGAAAAACCACTAGTCCAATTTCAACCAAACTTGGCAGGATTGGTCCTTGGGTGAAGGGCTTTCAAAGTTGTTCAAAGAATTTCATTCCATGCAGAAATCTGGTTGCCATGGCAACCAAAAGGAATTATAAGAATAAATTAAAAAAATCTTCTTGTAAAGACCCAAAAGACCTAGAGCTTAGATATTTTGCAAAAGGCATTGTCTGGTAGACCTCTACCAAGATTGTTCAAATTATAGCCCTGGGGTCAAAATCGGCCCCGCCCCGGGGGTCATTGATTTTCACTATATGTACATATAGTAAAAACTTAAAATACCTTCTTGTAAAGACCCAAAAGGCCTAGAGCTTAGATATTTTGCATAAGGCATTGTCTGGTAGACCCTTACCAAGATTTGTTCAAATTATAGCCCTGGGGTCAAAATCAGCCTGCCCCGGGGGTCATTGATTTTCACTATATGTACATATAGTAAAAACTTAAAACACCTTCTTGTAAAAACCCAAAAGGCCTAGAGCTTAGATATTTTGCATAAGGCATTGTATGGTAGACCCCTACCCAGATTGTTCAAATTATAGCCCTGGGGTCAAAATCGGCCCCGCCCCGGGGGTCATTGGTTTTCCTTTTATGTATATAGTAAAAACTTATAGTAAAACTTTAAAAAAATTTCTTCTAGCAATTGACAAATGCTAAAGGTTAGATATTTTGCATGAAACACTGAGAAGTGAACTTCTAGCAAGATTGTTCAAATTATAGCCCTGGGGTCAAATTGCCCTCGCCCCGGGGGTCATTGATTTTCAATATATACATAATAGTAAAAAAAATAAAAAAATCTTATTATCTGAAGGAACAAGGCTTTAGAGCTTTAATATTTGTTAAATAATATCATCTATAGGTACTCTACCAAAGTTGTTCAAATTTTGTCTCTAGTGTCAAAATTAGCCCCGCCCCGGGGCCATAGGTTTTCCTTATATGTATATAGTAAAACTTAAAAAATCATCTTCTCTTAATTTACAAATGCTAGAGTTAAGATATATTTTGCATGAAACATTGTGTAGTGAACCTCTAGCAAGATTGTTCAAATTATAAGCCCTGGGGTCAAAATTGGTTCCGCCCCGGGGGTCATTGATTTTCATTATGTACATATAGTAAAAAAATAAAAAATATTTTTGTCTGAAGGAACAAGACATAGAGCTTTGATGTTTGCTATATAATATCATCTATAGGTCCTCTACCAAAGGTGTTCAAAAAATTTTTCCCCTGGTGTCAAAATTGGCCCTGCCCGGGGGGCATTGATTCTCATTATGTACACATAGTAAAAACAGAAAATAAAACAATGTTTTCTGAATGGGAGAAAGCTACAGCTTAGATATTTGACTTGAAAATGTTGTTTGGTGGACCTGTATCAAGATTGTTTTGAATTGAACCCTTGGGTCCAAAATTTTGCCTTGCCCAAGGGGACAATGACCTACTTTCTTGTCCTTTGATGTACAGCAAAAGAAATTTTGACCATGTGCACAGTTTTAGTTGTAAAATTGAACTTTGATATCAGGTACCTAGATTTTTGATGATGTGACCTACTTTCTTGTCCTTTGATGTACAGCTATGAAATTTGAACTATGTGCACAGATTAAGATGTAAAGTGAACTTTTGATTTCAGCTGACCTAGATTTTGACAAAGTGTCTTACTGTGTTGTCCTTTTGATGTCGTCATGAAATTTAGGCTGTGTGAAATATGACCCTACCACCAAAATTTTACTAGACTCGAGTGCATTGATATATTCCTACTCTGATCTTTTATTGAGTTAACAACAGATTTAACCACTAAATCTGATAATAAGAATTAGATTATTTATAAGGTCAGGGATCTATGCATTATGACAATCTTCAAAATTGTATATAAACAAAACAAAATCTGTTCCTACACTACTATTTAGTATTGTATTAATGCGGTGGCATAGCATTTTTCTCAAATGCAATCTTGTTTTCTTTTTATCGTTACTAAAGACGGCAAATAAATAATTTTATCATAACAAACAAATCGGTTATAACACCTTTTATTTTGTATCAATTAACCTTAATTGCCTTTGTCACTATGATCAAGAGGTGTTAAAAACATGTGTTGCTGACTGTAAATTATTTAAAACATGTTGACCGCAACCTTTGTTGTCTGTATGTGTCTGACCGAAAAGGTGTGATTTGCACTATATTTCTGCCGAAGGGACCAGAGATCAGGTTCGAGAGTTCGAGCAATGGGTGTTCGAGTGATCCGAGGTAGAACAATAAATATTATATAGCCGGGACTGGGTGATGAGTTCGAGCGAAGGGAGGTATTAGAGCGAACAAAGTTTAACTGTATATGATATCATTTATAGGTCCTCTATCAAAGTTGTTCAAATTTTACTTCTAGTGTCAAAATTGGCCCTCACCCAGGGGGAGGAGTCATAGGTTGTCCATATATGTATACAGTAAAATCTTAAAAAATCTTCTCTGAATTGACAAAGGCTAGGGGTTAGATATTTGTCATGAAACATTGTGTAGTAGACCTCTGCCAAGATTGTTCAAAGAAAGATAAGAATGAACTTAAAAAATCTTCTTGGAAAGACCCACACAGCCTAGAGCATGGATATTTTGCATAAGATATTGTCTGGTAGAACTCTACCAAGATTGATAAAATTATAGCCCTGATGTCAAAATTAGCCCTGCCCCGGGGTCATTGATTTTCACTAGTGCAGTTGTTTTGATTTCCAACCAGTAGTTTTCAAGTAATGCTTCAGACAAGGAAAAGTAACAAAGGGCAATAACTCTGTAATTAGTCAAGATGGAGTTATGGTTCTTGTGCACTTCCTCTCAATGTGCTTGTTCATTTTATGAAGTTGTATTGAATTCCAACCATTAGTCTTCAAGTTATGCTCCAGACAATGAAAATTGCAACTGACAATTGGACCGACTGACCGACTGACCGACCACCTAGTGACTCCTATACACTTCTTTTCGGAGGTATAAAAATCTTCTTGTAAGACCCACAAGGCTTAGAGCATAGATATTTTGCAAAAGGCATTTTCTGGTAGACCTCTACCAAGATTGTTCTTATTATAGCCCTGGGGTCAAAATTGACCCTACCCTGGGGGGGTGGGGGGTCATTGATTTTCACTATGTACATATAGTAAAAACTTTAAAATCTTCTTTTCTGAAAGACAAAAGGCATAGAGCTTTGATATTTGGTATATTAATATCATCCCCTAGGTTTTCCTTTTATGTATATAGTAAAAACATCATCTTCTCGAAATTGACAAGAAACATTGTTTAATGAACCTCTACCAAGATTGTTCAAATTATAGTCCTGAGGTCAAAATTGGCCCGCTCCGGGGGTCTTTTTTTTCACAAAGTACATATAGTAAAAAAATCTTATTGTCTGAATATACAAAGCTTAGAGCTTTGATATTTGGTATATGATATCATCTATAGGTACTCTACTAAATTTGTTCAAATTTTGTCTCTAGCGTCAAAATTAGCCCCGCCCGGGGTCATAGGTTTTTCTTGTATGTATATAGTAAAAACTTTATAAAATCATAATTGACAAATGCTAGAGGTTAGATATTTTGTATAAAACATTGTATAGTGAACCTCTAGCAAGATTGTTCAAATTATAGCCCTGGGGGTCAAAATTGGCCCCTCCCTGGGGGGTCATTGCCAGTTCATTAGTGTGCTATATTTATAATGAATGTTGATTATATGAACTATCTTTATCATAGAAATTTGCCAAAAATCATCATTTAATGGCAGCTATCTTGGATTTTGAAGCCATATTGAATTTTGTACCAGTGCTATACTAAAGCATATTTCCAAAAAATTACTATTATTGACCTACATTGTCAATTTATATCATTTTCATGTCATAAATAACTCCATTTTGTCATGTCCCATGTACATTGTACATTTTGGTGGGGTTCTTGGATTTTGGTGGCCATCTTGGATTTTTAAAAAGTGGATCCCAGGCTGAAATTTATTGAAATACTTTTTCCTGCCACCATGAAAAGTTTCATGCTTTTCACAGAAAGTTCACAATTATTTCACTTGTTTCATAGCAACGAGTGAGAATCTACCATTGAGTTTTATAGCAGGCACCGACTTCCAAGGAAACCATTTATTTTGTATAGCAAACAATGACATCTTATGAAACTGTTGAGTTCCCTTAGCAATGGCTACCAGTAAAGTTTTTACACATGCACAATTTCAGATACAAATATGAACTTTTTGATATCAGTCTAAGATTTAGATTTTATATCTGCTTTCATTTATAGTTTACAGTCAAACGTGAATTAAGCGCCCGCACAAGGGAAACACCCAAAACGGACAGGTCATTTAATGAAACGGTCTCTTAAGACAAAGCATGATATAAAAGTCAAAATGTATAAATGACATCTTTCTTATGTGGTGGGAATGTTTTTCAACTTAATTTTTTATAAATGTTGAATAATTACTATGCTCCGATAATCTGTATGGATGCCAATGTAAAAAATAACTTTCTGATATTAGACAAAACAGTTTTGATCCATTACGTACATGTTTGACATTTTTTCCTAAATCTTTTAACTTCTCCATTGTTTTTCCTTGTCTCCAACACAAAAACCCCATTAGTGGAGAAGTTTTCTGTTGTGCATTTTTTTCATTTGAAATAAACAAACTTCACGATTAATTTAATTGCTGATCAAGTTCAAGGTCAATTCAATGCAGTCTAAATGTCAACAAGCGAAGCGTATACACCATCTCAGTAGGGGCGGAGCATTGAATGTTTATTCGATATTATTGGATAATACACGTCACACGTATACTTAACTTCATTTGCATACGCTAAAATGGTTTGGAAAATAGATTTTTTCACACATTTATTTGTTGTGTTTTGATTGTTGACACTTGTGACATTACGAGGCGGCATTCTCTAAAAACACAATTAGTTGACAGGAAAAAGTGGTTGTTTAATGAAAAGATTGATCTCAATTAGGTTACTAATAAGTTGTTGCTGGTCGCGTTGAGCAAAAGTCGCTTAATACATTAAAGATATAGAGAGAAAATGATCGGGGGGGAATTTAAAGTGGTAATTTAAGACAAAAGTCGCTTAATACACGTGGTCGCATGGGCAAGTTAGACTATATAATATTACATGTTCCTTGTCATGGAGAATATTCATATTTAGGTGAGTGATATTAGGGCATGATACATATGATTTAGGAAGATTAAATGATTAGCAAATATTACTAGAGCATGTCAATATAAACAGTTGGCAGGTAGCCTTATGGCAAGATATATAAACACTCTGATACCATGGAGCCAAGGGTATCATGGGGTTCGAGTGTACTTTATTTTTTCATTACTTGAAACAAATTTAAACAAATTTGTATTTGGGCATATATTACCCTGCCTATGCAGTGCTCTTGTTTATTATGCCCCCCTTCAAAGAAGTGGGGGTATATTACTTTGCATTTGTCTGTCTGTTGGTAGGTCTGTCGGTCCGTAGACCAAATGGTTTTCGATCAATAACTAAAGAACCCTTAGGCCTAGGAACTTCAAACTTGGTATTATGCTTGTTCATGACCAGTAGATGACCCCTATTGATTTTGGAGTTAAGGGGTCAAAGGTCAAGGTCACATTGAACTTGTAGGTAAAAACTGTTTCCGATCAATAACTTAAGAACTTCAACTTCAAACTTGGTAAGATGATTGTTCATGACCAGAAGATGACTCCTAATGATTTTGAAGTCAACGGTCAAGGTCACATTGACCTTGTAGGTAAAAACGATTTCAGATCAATAAGTGAAAAACACTTAGGCCTAGGAACTTCAAACTTGGTATGATAATTGTTTATGACCAGTAGATTACCCCTGTTGATTTTGGGGTCAAGGGGTCAAAGGTGAAGGTCAAATTGACCAAATAGGTAAAAAAAATTTTTTTCCCGTCAATAACTAAAGATTGCTTAGGCCTAGGAACTTCAAACTTGATATGATGATTATTCATGACCAGTTGATGACCCTTATTGATTTTAGGATCAAGGTGTCAAAGGTGACGGTCAAATTGACCTTGTAGGTAAAAACGGTTTCCAACAAATAACTCAACAACTGATGTTGCCTTGGTTGGTATTTTTATATACCCCCCATCCCCCCCCCACCCCCGCACAACGAAGTTTTAAGGGGGTATACTGGAATCAGCTTGTCTGTCCATCCATCGGTTTTTCCTTGTCTGCCCAATAACTTAAGATTCTTCTGACCCACAGTCTTCATATTTGGTATTTAGATTGGTCATGATTATTAGATGATCCCTATTGATTTTGAGGTCACCAGGTCAAAGTTCAAGGTCACTGGGGCCTTGACTTAAAAAGCTTGTCCACCTAATAACTTAAAGATTCTTATGACCCAGGGTCTTCATATTTGGTATTTAGATTGGTCATGATTAGTAGATGATCTGTATTGATTTTGAAGTCACCAGGTCAAAAGTCAAGGTCACAGGGGCCTTGACTTAAAGGAGCTTGTCTGCCCAATCACTTAAAATTCCTTTGACCCACAGTCTTCATATTTGGCATGAAGGTTAGTCATGATTAGTAGATGACCCCTATTGATTTTGAGGTCACTGGGTCACAGGTCAAGGTCACAGGGGCCTTGACTAAAAAAAGCTTGTCCACCCAATAACTTAAGACTCAAGGTCACAGGGTCCTTGACTTAAAAAAGCTTGCCCGCCTAATAACTTATGATTCCTTTTACCCACAGTCTTCATATTTGACATGGAGGTTAGTCATGATTAGTAGATGACCCTATTGATTTTGAGGTCACTGGGTCAAAGGTCAAGGTTACATGGGTCTTGACTTAAAAAGCTTGTCTGCCAATTAACTCTCTGGCGTGGGTTTGATCCCCGGGAGATGCTTTGGTAGTTTAGCGCGGAGGAAGGTAGTCAAGTACTGGTGTAACTCTTCAGGAACGATAGTTAGGAAACTACCCGCCTATATGACTGAAATACTGTTGGAAAAAGGCGTAAAATGAAACAAACAAACAAGACTAGCAGATGATCCCTATTGATTTTTAGATGACTGTGTCAAAGGTCAAGGTCATTGGGATTTTTACTATAATAAGCTTGTCTGCTCAAATGCTTAAGAATGCCTGTCTGCAGTGTATTGATTTTGACATTTTCACATTTGAAGCATGTAGAATACATTATTTAGCAATGCACTGTCTTAGTTACCTCAAATGTAGCAGGGGGAGGTTGTCCTTGAGCTCTAAATGGCCACTGTTGATTCTGACAAAGTGGTATGCGGAGGTATTCACGCCATGACAGTGGCAGTTCAAGTTATTAAACTAAAAATGCTTTTGGTATGCACATTTCAAGGTCTTAAGTAATATAACAAATTGGCTGTCATTAAGGAGCCCTACATGATTTCTAAACTTTATGCATATATCATTTGGTAAGATTTGTGATTATTTTTTCATAAAATTGCTGCACACAACCTTTACAGTCACAATTACCTAGTGACTAGTCATGACCAATAGATAACCCCTTTTGATTTTTTGGTCACTAGGTCAAAAGTCAGTCATAATAACCCGACCACACAACTAATTGGCTGCCGATAGGGGGCATACATGTTTTACAAACGTATCTTGTTTACTGTTGGTTTATCTTTGCATCTAGTATTTCTATGGACAGTGGCATTGGTTCTCCATCACTATTCAGTATGCAGGGAGATTCCAGTCACAAGGTTATTGACATACGTACACTGAAACAGAACTGTTCCAAAAGAAATAGTGCTAAGCGACCAAGCAAGGCTTCTTCAGAACATACCAGTAATGAGAAACATAGAAGGTACTTAATAGGATGTAAAGAGTTCATGCATATTCATATCATAGCATATGTTTACATAGAAAGCTTCATTTTGTTATTAGTGAAAATAAATGATTTAATGTTTTAAGGAAACACTTGATAATTTAACTACTTTAATTAAACTTATTTTGAAAGTGACTTTTAAATAACCATGACCTTTATTGAAAAAAAGTCATTGAATTTAAATAGAATTGGCTGTAATAAATCATAATTTTTGGTACACGTATGTTGCATCATAAAATATTGGTCAAAATGAAATTTGGCATCAGGCCACTAATTTTTATGCCCCCTGGCATATAGTAATTGAACAGTCTGTCCGTCTGTATGTTTGTCTGTTAGCAGTTTTCCTGTCTGGTATGTATCTTTTGAACTGGTTGAATGAAATAGAAACTACTTGGCAGAAATGTTAACCATATTGAGATGGTGTGAGAGCATAGGTTTGACCTACCTCAGGTCAGAGTCACACATTTTATTTGATTCAAAAATTTTGTGTCCATTCTGTATCTTTTGAACTGATAAAAAGAAATTAAAATTTTACTTATACTGAGACCATTGTGCAGAACACAGATTTGGGCTTCCTGCATGAGATCAAAATTCCCCTACCATGAGAAGACACAATTTATTAGCTCGAATTTTTTTGGAAAAGAAAACAACAAAAAAATCTAAAAGAGGTATTGTAACAGTCATGTTGGCGTACCTTGATCATAACTTTTTATGCCCCCCTTTAAAGAAGAGGGGGTATATTGTTTTGCTAATGTCTGTCGGTTTATCTTAAAAACTATTCATCACAAAATCTTCATATTTCACATACTATTTGGTCATAACAAGTAGATGACCCCTATTGATTTTGGGGTCACTAGTTTAAGGGGCCAAGGTCACAGAGGCCTTAAATGTGAGAATGGTTTCCACTTGATGATCTTGAAAACTATCACAGTCTTCATATATTTCACATGCTGATTGGTCATATCTAGTTGATGACCCCTATAGATTTTGGGGTCACTAAGTCAAAGGTCAAGGTCACAGGGGCCTTCAATGTCATTGCTAATGTTGGTTGGTCTATCAGCTTGGCTGTCTGTAGACCACATGGTTTCCACTGATTATCTTGAAAGCTATTTATCACAAAGTCTTCATATTTCACATATTGATTGGTCATAACTATTAGATGTTGGGTCACTAGTTCAAAGGTCAAGGTCACAGGGCCCTTCAATGTCAGAATGGTTTCCGCTCATTATCTTGAAAACTATTTGTCACAAAGTCTTCATACTTTTCTTTTTTTCATAACTGAACACTTCCATGTACCCATTTATGGCAAGTTTCTATAACAAAATAACCAATAATGCGCGTCAAGGGCTAGAAAGGGGGGCATATGTGTCCCTCGACAAACCTTGTATTTCTTGTTTTAATTTTTTTTTTTAAAGTGTTTAAGCCAAAAAAACATTGAATTGAATATCATTGTTGCAAATTTAGCCTTATAGCCAATTTACGTGCAATTATAACACTGGAAACAGCATTGCTGGCACTATACAAATTGGTTTATAATCTCACAACCTTCACCTTTCTGACATTCTGAGACCCAAACAAATTCAACGCCTTCTCTGCTTTGATTTTATATGATAACGTCTTTATTTCTTAATGTATCTACTTAAACTTCATATGTATGTGTCTTATTTTCACTCAAGTCATTTGGGAGAAGGTTCAATACTCTAGCTTGTCTATTTCCAGAATAACCCTCCGTCCGTCTCTCCGTCCGTCTGTCCAGGCAAACATCCAATGGTCTGTGAGCTTCATTCCGTCCATAATTTTAGTTAAAATAAGGAAGAAATCCCATAAACCAACCGGTTTATGTGGTAATTTTTACTGGTTTATGGGGTAAAATGCCACATAAAGATCAAAGAAAAAGCACATAAACCCTAAATGTTGGCACGTCCGTCTGTCAGTCCGTCCACAAAACTGGATCCCGCGATAATGCAAAAAGTACTGGAAATATTTTTATCAAACTTGATATATGGATAGATGGCAGTATGGAGATTATGCACGTCTTTTTCTTTTTTTCCTATGTTGAAAATTCTTTTTGCCAGATAGACTGAAAATATGGCAAATTTTACACATAAACTCACAGAATCCAATGATAACGCAAAAGTACTGAAATTTTTTTTTATGAAACTTGAAATATGGGTAGATGGCAGTCTGGAGATTATGAATGTCTTTTTCTTTTCTTCTAATGTTGAAAAAATTGGTTGCTATGGCAACAAATAGGCTTTAAACATGGCAAATATAAAAATATTTGTGATTAGTCAAAGAGCTGAAAATTTTTATGAAACTTAAAATATGGATAGATGGCAGTATGGAAATTATACACATCTTTTAATCATGACTATAGAGAGTATATTGAGAGCTGTCATACTTAACAAAACGTCGGCATGTTTTCACTATAAGTTCTTTATTTCTTAAAGTATTTATTTCAAACTTCAAATTTAAGTTTCTGGTCATCAACCACATCATATGTGACAAGGTTTACAACTCTAGCACAAAATTTATCAGAATTGCCTCCCTTGAACTTTTTTTTTTTAAGTATTGTTTTAATAACTTCTTTATTTCTTAATGTATCTTCTTCAAACTTTAGAGTATCCTTCAGTCCGTCTGTCTGTCTGTTCATAAAAACTGTTTCCTCTAAACACTTTTAAAGAACTTTTTCAACAAATTTACTTAAAATAGAGAAAAATTGAAACATTAGTGAATGGCCAATGGCCCTTTAGAATGTTGCTGGGGTTCTAACCAGTAGATTGCTTGCAATACTATGATAATTGCTTGTTAGTCCCCTACCGGTTTAACCGGAGGGGACTTTAGGTTTACCCTCCGTCCGTCTGTCCGTCCGTCTGTCTGTCCATCTGTCTGTCAGTCCGTCTGTTCACAAAACTGGATCCCGCGATAACGCAAAAAGTACTGAAAATATTTTTATGAAACTTGATATATGGATAGATGGCAGTATGGAGATTATGCACGTCTTTTTTTATCTTCCTATGATGAAAATTCTGGTTGCTATGGCAACAAATAGTCTGAAAATATGGCAAATTTAAAACATAAACTGGATCCAGTGATAACTTAAAAAGTACTGAAAATGTTTTTATGAAACTTAAAATATGGGTAGATGGCAGTCTGGAGATTATGCACATCTTTTTCTTTTCTTCCTATGTTGAAAATTCTGGTTGCTATGGCAACAAATAGCCTGAATTTGAAGATTTCTGATTATCATTTTTCAGCTTTTTCACTATAAGTTCTTTATTTCTTAAGGTGTTTACTTCAAACTTTAAACATACATGCCATAATTTTTGGACAGCTTTCCGGGACACTTTTCATCGCGGCAATAATGGATGTGTAGGCAGTTGTGGAAAAGGGGGGGGGGGGGGGCGGGGGGGGGTGTCAATCGTATAACGTTATTAATTAGGACGACTTTCTCCTGAATTTTAATGATAAACAGTTAACTTACTAGTTTTATAAGTAGTCTTTTAGGTCGACATAATTATCATTTTATAGTATTTCTTTATTTCATTTATTATTCCCTAAAAGCAAGTAAGTTGTAAGTTATTATTTATTATAACCCGGTGAATGGGCGCAGCCATGTTGTTCACCCCTTATATCTTAAAGTCGTGATAATTACTACATGTCACGTAATGCAATTCTTCCAGTCATAAAAACAAACACAGCAATGTGATTTATTTGACACCTTTAATTTTTTATTTGATAGATATTTACATTGTTTGTAATAATTAGACTTTCGGCAAGTTAGCGATTGATCTAAAAATTAATGATTTTATCGGGGATTAACGATAATTGTTAAGGGCCGTAAACCATTAATTAACCCGACCATTAAACGCTGCCGAATTCAACAGAAAATGTTAATTGCCGATGCATGAAGAAAGCTATAGCCGAGGGGAATCGACAGTCGATAATTGGGGGGCTGTATATTGTAAACTTGTAAGTGTCAACGTTCCTGTGTATTATGTGTACCAGGTCAGAATATGTTTTGCGATCGAGAGGTGAAATGTGCGAGATTTGATTTAAGAAAATTTATGAAAATTTTGCAAAATATCATGGATTTTTTTTCCCGGGATCAAATCGATGCCCGGGACATCTCCGGGACAGACATCCGATTTCCGGGACAATCCAGGGCATCCGGGACGTTATGGCATGTATGCTTTAAATATAAGTTTCTGGTCATCAACCACATCATATGTGACAAGGTTTACAACTCTAGCACAAAAATTATCAGTATGACCTCCCTTGAACTTTGAATTTTTATGAAAAAAAAATGTTGTCTTTTTTTAAATAACTTCTTTACTTCCTAATGTATCTACTTCAAACTTCATATATATGTTTCAACATTTTTGAGAAGGTTAAATACTCTAGTAAGACTATTTCCAGAATTATGTCCCCCTTGAACTTAGATTTTTTTCAAGAAATTGGTATTTTTCACTCCACCTTCTTCATTCCTTATAGGATTTACTTTAAAATCCCACATTGTAATAATATGACAAGGTTGTATAAACATAATTTCCTTACTAGGCAGGGAAACTTAACACATTACTGTGATATAGACAAACTTAGAACTCAAAAGATATAAGTTCATTCATGTCATTCATTTACTGGTAAAATTGAATGGCCAATCATAATGTTGCTGGGGTTCTAACCGGTAGGGGACTTATGGATTGCTTGCAATACCATGATAATTGCTTGTTTCTTCATGGATTTACTTCAAATTTAAAATATACATTCATTATCAACATCTTCATCGTAATAACTATGTGATTAGATTTATAAGACATGGGTTTCCATGAGTATTTTCATCTTGAAAAAATGATTTATTGGCTGGACTATTCGCAGAATAATCGAGCTAATGCAGTCATCCATTTGTCGGCGTCGGCGTCCCTGTGGTTAAGTTTTTGCATGTAAGCTGGTATCTCCATAACTACTGAAGGGAATGG